CTTTTTGCAACAATGAATTACAACAACTTCAAAATTTGCATATCCCGAGTTGGCTAAAAGTAGTCGCGAACTGCACCGTGGAATTACACGCATTCTCTGATGCCTCGAGCGCAGCGTACGCTGCTGCAATATACATAAAAGTAACAATTGAGAGCTATACTTCAGTTAATTTGCTAATGGCGAAAACGAAAGTGGCACCTTTAAAACGACTGTCAATTCCAGGACTGGTATTGTGTGGTGCTCGTCTCGCCGCGGTTCTCAATTTCTATTGAGCTCGAGGCCGTTTTTAATGAAAAACTTATTGTGGAAAAGCAACAATAATTTGAAAAAATTGTAGAAGTGATAGCTATTTCGGAAATAACCACATTTCCTCATCAGACTTCTTTCAGTAGGATTCGAACCGACGGTCCCACTGACTCAGCCAGTTGCCTACGCACTGTGCTAAGTCCGACTTGTAAATTATCGTTGCTTTATTCTCACTTTTTCATTTTTGCTAGGCCAACACAATCAAGCGCAGCTATTCCGCTACGATTTATACTTGATCATGTGGTTGTTGGTTTTGTTGGTTTTTGTTAATAATTCTAATTTTGGAATGTTTAAATTTTAGGTGTGCTCGTCCGTAAGTTATTTGTTTTTGTTATTTTATGGCCTTATAACAATTATATTCAACAATTTTTATTGAGCTCGAGGCCGTTTTTAATGAAAAACTTATTGTGGAAAAGCAATAATAATTTGAAAAAATGGAAAATTTCGGAAATCACCACATTTCCTCATCAGACTTCTTTCAGTAGGATTCGAGCCGACGCAGAGTGTAAGATTTGACCCATCGAGCTGCTTTTAATTCTGTAATTCGAAAACTATTGAATATAGGTTAATGAAATTCTGCAAATGTACGTTATAAGATAGGCGAAGCTTTTTACAAAAAATTGGTAGTTTATAGTTACTGTCACGCCACCCTATTATAAAACTGCAATTTTTAAAACTGCAAAAACTGAAATATTTAACTAACTACAAAGGCTAAAATACCCAAAATTGATATTTAGAATTTCCCTATATCAAGGAATTATAAACTGACAGAAATGGACCTAAAAATATATATATATATTTTTTTTTAATTATGGGCGTGGAAAATATCGATAAAAAAGTCAAGATGGGTTAACAAAATTCCGTTATAAGTTCAATATTTCTTACTCTATTTACAAAAATGGGATGCCATTGGAAAGGTAATGAATCAGGCTTTCTCTATTCAAAGCGAAAATATAAAAATTTGTCGCGGTCGAGATAAAATGCAAATGAATTACTCGAAGAAAATGAAATTCCCAGTAGGCCAGAAAAAAGAAAATTTCATCAAAACCTGCACTTTCCAGCAGCTAAAATTATGTTGTTTAAAATCTAAGAGGAGTGGCAAATAAACTGAAATACAAACTTTATCGAATAGTGGCGGATAACGAGTTTGCGGGCCTAATAAAATTAATAAATTGCTAAAAATTAATTTAAATTAACATCGTTTTACTTTAACATGAAATACTCAGTCCTAGTTTATTAAAATCCCAAAAATGTATATTTATTAAAAAGAACATACCCAAGCAAATAAGACCAAAATCGAATTTTAGTAATTGTTGCATAAATCACATAACACCGACAAAATAAACATTGAGATTCAGTTTCAAATATACAAGTAATTTTCCAAATCAAACCCCGTCCCGCCATACACTTTGATTTAAATTTTTTAGTTGTTATTGTTTCGACTTTATCAGGCATTTCTAAAAATATTCTTGACGTTTTTTTTTTAATTTGGTGACATAAAATTATGTAATTAATCTTTTCTAGAATATGGAATTGATACACTGTGCGACGATCACACTGACTCAGCCAGTTGCCTACGCACTGTGCTAAGTCCGACTTGTAAATTATCTTTACTTTTTTCCCACTTTTTCATTTTTGCTAAGCCAACACAATCAAGCGCAGCTATTCCGCTACGATTTACACTTGATCATGTGGTTGTTGGTTTTTGTTAATAATTCTATTTTTAGAATGCTTAACTTTTAGGTGTGCTCGTCCTTAAGTTATTTGTTTTTGTTATTTTATGGCCTTATAACTATATATTATGAAAAACTTATTGTGGAAAAGCAACAATAATTTGAAAAAATGGTAGAAGTGATAGCTATTTCGGAAATCACCACATTTCCTGATCAGACTTCTTTCAGTAGGATTCGAACCGACGATCCCACTAACTCAGCCAGTTGCTTACGCACTGTGCTAAGTCCGACTTGTAAATTATCGTTGCTTGTTTATCACTTTTTCATTTTTGCTAGGCGAACACAATCAAGCGCAGCTATTCCGCTAAGATTTACACTTGATCATGTGGCTGTTGGTTTTGTTGGTTTTTGTTAATAATACTATTTTTAGAATGTTTAACTTTTAGGTGTGCTCGTCCTTAAGTTATTTGTTTTTGTTATTTTATGGCCTTGTAACAATTATATTCAACAATTTTTATTGAGCTCGAGTCGGACTTAGCACAGTGCGTAGGCAACTGGCTGAGTCAGTGGGATCGTCGGTTCGAATCCTACTGAAAGAAGTCTGATGAGGAAATGTGGTTATTTCCGAAATAGCTATCACTTCTACCATTTTTTTTCAAATTATTGTTGCTTTTACACAATAAGTTTTTCATTAAAAACGGCCTCGAGCTCAATAAAAATTGTTGAATATAATTGTTATAAGGCCATAAAATAACAAAAACAAATAACTTAAGGACGAGCACACGTAAAAGTTAAACATTCCAAAATAGAATTATTAACAAAAACACATTACTGGAATCGTAGTGGATGGAATACAACACATGTTATGATGAACTAAGGTTTGATGGGAATTTTTTACATTGGTACGCATTCAAAGATTTGTTTCAATCGGTTGTAAATATCTAATCATTCAAATTTGAGTAACACACAGAGACTTCAGTATCTCAAAGACGCACTGGTTGGTGATGCGGAACATGTTCTTGACAATATTGTGACAACAGATGCGAGTTTTCAAGTTGCATGGGACATTCTTGTTAAGAAGTATGAGAACAAGCGCATAATCATCAACTCGTATTTAACTCATATTATGAATTTGCCGAAAGTTGATGCTGAAACTGCCAGTCAATTGCGGGTGTTTTGTGACGGAGTAACAGCAGCATTGCGTGCGTTAGAACATCTTCGTCGTTCAGTATCACACTGGGATGACGGGCTCATATTTATAATTGTTAATAAATTGGATGTTGCTACACGTAAGGCTTGGGAACTGGCTCTTAGCTCAAGCGATGAAGTGCCAACGTTTGAAAGGTTAAAGAAGTTCCTTGAAAATCGTATTCAAACATTGGAGGTCATAAAGTTAGCGTATGATGAACCTCAAAAGGCAGCTAAATCGAAAACAACTGTTAAAGGTTGTCACATTTCAACTGCAACATGTCCGATATGTTCAGATAAGTATATCGTTTAGCATTGCAAACAATTTAAGGCCTCAAGTGCAAAGAAAGAGCTGGTAATGAGTCATAAGTTATGCTTCAATTGTCTAAGGCAAGGACATATGTTACGGGTGTGTCCGTCCGAGGGGCGTTGCACAGTTTGCAAAGCAAAGCACAACACATTATTGCATGGTGTATTTTTTAATAAGACCGAACCTAATGTGGCACAACAAGGAGTGTCGCAAAGTAATATAGCGGATTCGAGTACAACGAATGTCGCATCCTCTATAACAGCCAATAACACATGTATTGGAAACACGTCTAACCATTCACCAGCCTCTTTGCCGACAGTGCTGTTGGCCACCGCGTTTGTGGAAGCACGTGGTCCGAATGGACACAAACAAATTTTGCGAGTATTAATTGATAACGGAGCCGAAGCTACGTTCATTAGTGAGTTTGCAGCACGACAGTTGCAGCTACAACGTACAGTAGTTAAGATCCCGATCAGTGCAACTGGTACGAGCGTGGCTTGTGCGAAGGCATTGGCCAAAGTTACTATTCGATTACTAAAATACGATTTTGAGATGGAGTGTATCGCCTTGGTACTTCCAAGGGTAGGGAACATTACATCTAATAAGCATATCCCGAATACCGAATTCCCAGAATTGGGTCAGTTAAAGTTAGCTGATCCCAAGTGGTACCAACCTGGTGCTATTGACATCATCCTGAGTGCGGCAGACTACGCCATGATAATACGCAGCGAAGTTAAACAAAGCGCTACTAATAGAATGGTGGCACAGCATACGCAACTATGCTGGATCATCTTTGGTGGGTTATCTGATTATAAGAGTATGTCTGATACTCACAAAGCCCAGTGCTACAACACACACATCGACTTGGAGCATCCTTACGACTTTTCTGGGAACTGTAGGAACTCAACGAGCATCAAACCATGACGGAAGATGAAGTATACTGCGAAAACCTGTTCGAGCAAACTACAAGGCGTAACAGTTTCGGCCGATACATCGTGAAACTCCCTGTGCGAAAGGGTGGTGACCTTCAACAGCTTGCACCTAGCAAGCAAGATGCGCTAGTCTTGTTAGAACATACACATCGACGGCTTGCTCGCGAACCTGAACTTAGTACATTTTATAAAAAGTTTATGGAAGAGTATCGAGAACTCGGGCACATGGAAGTGACACACGACAACAATGATAGTCACATGTGCTATTTACCACACCACGGTGTGGGGAAAGCTTCGAGCACTACTACAAAACTACGTGTGGTGTTCAATGCCGCACGGAAATACTCCACGGGGGTATCGCTGAATGACTGTCTGTACACTGGGCCAAAGTTACAGAATGATTTCGCCAGTATTTTGCTGAATTGGCGACAATACAAATTTGCATTTACGGGTGATATCGAGAAAATGTACAGGCAGATTTTGGTGGACCGCGAAGATGCTGAACTTCAACGAATTTATTGGCGTACTCCTACAGAGGATTCACCCACCTACTGACCGTAACGTATGGGACTAATTGTGCACCGTACTTGGCACTTAAAGTCTTACAACGTCTCGCAAATGATGAACGAAAGAAATTCCCTCAAGCGGCAAAATCACTCGAAACTGAATTTTACATAGATGACGTCTTATCCGGAAGCGACACACACGATGACGTTATCAACAATATGCATCAATTAAAATCGCTGCTGCAGGCCGGCGGTTTTAGTTTGCGTAAGTTCAACTCCAACCCTATTGAGGCCTTGAACGCTATTGAGCCATGCGATCGTGATCCATCGGACTCATTGGAGTTAGGCATAAGCGACCGGACCAAGGCTTTAGGAATAGTTTGGCTTACTCGTACTTATATGCTAACATATAGCATTGATTTGGATTACAGTATTACGTGCTTCACCAAACGTAAATTGGCGAGTGATGTTGCTAGAGTATTCGATCCGTTGGGACTCGTGGCTCCTGTAACCGTAAGAGGCAAAATCTTTTTGCAACAATGAATTACAACAACTTCAAAATTTGCATATCCCG